AAAAAAAAAAAAAAAAAAAAAAAAAAAAAAAAAAAAAAAAAAAAAAAAAAAAAACCACTGATGAGAATATTAGACTGTTAATAAGTGACTTCTCTGACTGAAGTACAATAAATTTTATGAAAAGCCCAGATTTCAATTTGCTTTACAATTACAAAGTTCCAAATCCTATCATTTTTTTAACCTGTGACACTGAAGTTCCAAATCCTATTAAAGGAAACAGGGAGAGAGGAGATAAATCTAAAATGGTAAAACAGACATTTTCACATTATTATAGATTCAATCACGCGAATCGTTCTTCTTTCTTTTTCCTTGAGAGGGTCAGAGCTTGAATCCACAATGATTGAACGGGCCTTTAAAAGAGCGATGGTAGATCCATTGATGTGAATAATTTTTTTTTCTCTTATTTCTCTTGCCTTGAGAGAGTTGGAGATAGAAAGGGTGATATGGTAATTGGAACAACATCTCCAATCGTCGTAGTTAATCTCTTTGGAATTACTTATAAAATTGAATATTAATCTTGCAAAAGGTTCTATCTTAGGAATAAACAGAGAGAGCTAAATCTACACAGGTCAAAGGGCGTTCAAAGCACCGTGGTAGATCCATTCAAGTGAATTGAGTTTTCTTTCCCTCTTCCATTTATCTTCCATCTTGGGAGAGGAAGATGTCGGTAGGGTAATATATGTATTGGCACTATACATCCATTTGTAACAATTAATCTTATGGATGAATCGAAAATAATCTTGCAAACGGCTCCATTTAAGGAATAATTTCCATACAGATGGATAACTAGATTAACAAAAACTCAAGAAAACCCAAAATTTTGCAGTAAAGAATTCCATATCTTCCAGCTAAAAGATCATTTAAAGAATAAACAAGCCATATCTTCATGCTCCTATAGACATGAACAATGAGGCAGGTTCAAGTTTCAAGAAGGGCATTTAGTTCTCAATTTTTCTGAACAGGTTCCTGTCCAAACAACTGAACTGAACAGAGACCTTTTCCCAACATACTTCCACCATAAAAAAGTTTGAGAACTAAAGATCTGACTGAAAAACTGCCTAGCTCCAGCAGCCAAAACCTTTCATCCATTTCTACCTTCAACTCTTGATTTTAGGCCATAATCAACCATTATGAGATGAGATTATCCTTAACATAATCGTTACAATTTTCATCACGATGTTACACAAGGTATAAAAATATAAATAGCCTTGGGTCCCAATGGGCATTTTCTCCTCAGCAAGAAGTTATGAAATTAATAAACATCACATACCATGGCCCTTAGGATGAAAGCAAATGTTTTTGCGTCATAATGGTTATCTTTCATTTCTGTAACTAACTGAGTAAATGAATCTGGTAGCTTCAGGCCATCTGGTATTTCCTCAGAGCTAACTTGGTTGAAGATCTTGTAAAGATCACTCACCAACCTCTTCTGCATACAATCAACAATTACAATAACAAAAAATGGAATTTGAAACAAACCAAAAGGACCATGAAAAGAAAAACAAAGAACAAGAATCAGGTCATTACCTCTGAAGTGTCAACCCGACCAAGAAGGCGAGGTCCCCATGTCCTGCCCAAACAATCTAGCACAAAAAAAGAAGGGATTTAGGGACACAATTCGTATGAAACTTTGAAATCGGTGAGATATTTTATATTTGTCCAAAATGGTCACATTTCGATTGCTCAAAATGTCATGTCCTGTTTTAGCTGAAAGCTTCATACGTTTATCTAATCAGTTAGGCTTCTTTTCTTGTATAAATACAACCCCTAAATAATTAACCAAAGAAAAAGTTATTTGAATTTATTTAGAAGCAGCATATTTGATGTTCATCCGGATTATGGGACTACGCCATCCGCGTAGCTCCGAATACGCGCATTGGAGCTCTTCGCTCAATGTCCCAAGTCGCTTGTAAACCGTGATCAGAATAAGGTAAAGATTGAAGATTAATTTTGTACTCTATTAATTTCTCAGTTCCTCAGTTCCTCTAGTCGGATGGCGCCGGCCGATCTTTCGACCGGATCGTTGTTCAAGTTCATTTCTTCACTTCGCTTTGAACTGTCTCCTCCTTGTCCATTGTGTTTGCACTTCACTGGCTCAAACAAGCCAGACCTAATTTTCTTATTTCGATAGCTAATCATCAGAACTTAAAGGTCATTTGCATCACCGAGAAACTTCATTGAAATTAGTAATGCAGAAGAGGATCACAAAGAGACTTTGCCTCAGCTATGGCATACATATGAATTTTACAAGAAAGACAAAATACAAAACACAAAATCAAATTAAATTAGATTTGACATCTACGGTCGTCTCATGATAAAATAAGAACAAAAAAAAAAAATCAATCAGATTCTGCAATGCATTCTGAAATGACCAACATCATGACATGAAATCTTTCATAATTGCACGCCCCAAAAGCAGATAAGATCCATCACAATCAGTCTAAAATGACATCACTAACACAAACGTTAACCAGAAAGACAAACTTTGAAACTAAAAAAGTAATGAGTTCATTGACAGTACCCAGAGAGGAGCAGTTGTTGACACCTTCG